ACAAACACCTACACACACACACACACATCACACAAACACACACACACATACACACACACACACACAGCACATCACACACACACACACACACACACACACAATACACACACACACACACACCCACAACACACACACACACACACGCACACACACACACACACACACACACACACACACACACACACACACACACACACACACACACACACACACACACGTCACGTACCAGACGTCTACAGAACACTCCGACCAAACTTAATTCTATCAAACTTTCACTTCCTCGCCTTCTCTGTCTTCGTGATTATTACTTTACTTATATTTATTATATATTATGGCGCGGTAAGTGTAGGTTGAGTTAAGCTACGTTAGGTTACGTTACCTTAGGTTACGTTACGTTAGTTTACGTTAGGTTAGGATAGGTTAGGCTATGTTAACGCAAACTAGCCTTTATTTATAGGCAACCGCTAATAAAGAAATATCATAAACGGACTACTAACGTTTAGCAGAGTGGGACACATCATAGTCCCTTAGAGCGTTGTATCCCCACGCTCACTGTATCAGTTTGAGGATGAGGTGGGAAAGAGAGCGTTGGTATCCCCATGTTCACTGTATCTCTTTGACGATGGGGTGGGAGAGCGTTTAGTATCCTTAGGATGACAATGTATATTTGATGGTGTGATGGATGAGAGAGATTCGCCCTTCCATTAATAGTATACAGTACCGACGAGTTGATGAATAAGGCGATTATGGGTGTTACGAAGACTATTCTCCAGCCAGTGGCTTTTTTCAGTTCACTCCACAGAATACATGCTGGAGACAGTGGAAGATGAGGTAATCAGTCCCCCAGCCTTCAGGAAAAGTGTTCAGTCCCACAGCCTTGAAAAGTCTGAAGCAGACGAAGGAGAAGGGACAGTTAAATCACTGGTGGGTGAAATGTCTCCATAATAAAGATACCCATTAGTTGCACAAGTGTCTTATTCAGTCTCTCGTCCGCTAGCAACATTTCCTCCGTCATGCAACATCTGTCGGAACCAGCAGTTTGAGAGAGACTATGAAATGCCTTCAGTCATTGATAATCTTTTCCTCCTGGCATCCCTCATCTCTCTCTCTCTCTCTCTCCTATTTTTCTTTCCTTCCTTCCCTTTTCCTCCATTCCCTCCTTCCTTCATCCTCCTCCTCCTCCTCCTCTTCTCTCTCCCTTCCGTTCAAATTGTCGTAAGCCAAACTCTACCTGACAGCACCGAAGGAGTTATTGGTGCGAACTTAATGTTCATGACGCAGAAGGGTTTGATCAGCGGTCAGCAAAGGACACCCGGTTACCTCAGCATCAGTAGAAACAACAGCAGCTGTAGCAAGAATACTAACATGAGTAGAACCAACTGCAGCAGCAGCAGCAAGAATACTAACAGCAGTAGAACCAACAGCAGTAGTAGCAAGAATACTTACAGCAGAAGAACCAACAGAAGTAGTAACAAGAATACTAACAGCAGTAGAAACAACAGCAGCATTAACAACAATACTAACAGCAGTAGAAGTAGCAGCAGTATCAAGAACAGTAGCTGTGGTATCATACAAAAGAGCAGGAAAAACAGCAGTATAGCAAGGACAACAACAGCAGCAGTAGCCACAGTATCAGCTATAAATGAAGCAGCAAAAGCAGCATTAACAACAGTATAGGCGGCAGTAGGAGCAGCAGCAACAACAGTAGAAACAGCAACGGATTAGCACATTCTGTGTAACCCGAACGGCAGATGACCACCACTGTTGACGTCAACAGTGGTAAGATGAGAAGACTGTTATCTAAGGAAGACGAGCTTAACGGTATAACCAACAGTGAAAGCCGAGCTGAAAGGTAAACAGTGGCAGACGTGCGTAACGGTAAAATCAACTGTGGCAGAGGAACCAAACGATAAAAATCAACAGTGAAAAGTATTGACAGTGACTCAAAAACAGTGAAATCTGTAGACACCTCTACCAACATCACCACCAGCTGACACACCACCAACTGACACTACCAGCTCTCACACTAAATGCTGACTCACCACCAGCTGACACACCACCAGCTGACACACCACCAGCTGAGGCCTCACTACCAATATTAGGCTTAAGGCAAAGAGATTTGAATGTACTTTCAAAGTGACTTTCTAAATCTTCTAAATCCACAGACAGAAGTCACAATACAAATTCAAATCTCTGACTTCATGTTTCCTGTTTCTGACTAGAGATTAGCGAACGGAGTGTCGATCCTCCACCTGTTCTTGTACTGTATGACCCACACGCTTGGTTAATAGGGGATTTAAAACCTATCAACTACAAGAGATTCATTAAGCCTGCTTGCATCCTCTTCACAACTCGCCAAAAGGATTTTAATCCCTAAAATAGGGATTAAAGTAAATTCTCAGCAAACACACACACACACACACACACACACACACACACACACACACACACACACACACACACAACACACGCGACCAGTGAAGAGACCAGTCCAGTAGCTGTGAATCGACTCCTGCAATCACACACATACACACACACGCAAACACACACACACACACACACACACACACACACACACACACACACACACACACACACACACACACACACACACACACACACACACACACACACATACACACACACACACACACACATTCTCTCCGCAGATGGGTTTAACGCTTCATATAAAACCAAAAATCTGGAAGGGCTTACACATTTTTCTCCTTACCTTTTTGTTCTATTCCATTCCCTTGTCTTTTCCTTTCTTTCTCTTCCCTTCCTCCCTTTATCATTCTGCTTCTCCCTCTCTCCCATTCATTTAGCGCTCTGCAACTACATCTCTCGAGTAAGTAGATAATGTTCTTTAGCTTTGTCAGCTTATTAAACACACCGAGGTTTTCTAGGGGCTGAAAATCACATTTCACTTCAAACAGGATATCAGAGTCACTGATACTGTGTAAGACCTCGTTTTCTATTCAAATTTATCTCTCCATCTTATGCCCGTCTCTCTCTCTCTCTCTCTCTCTCTCTCTCTCTCTCTCTCTCTCTCTCTCTCTCTCTCTCTCTCTCTCTCTCTCTCTCTCTCTCTCTCTCTCTCTCTCTCTCTCTCTCTTCTCTCTCTCTCTCTCTCTCTCCTGTATTACGAAGTCTAATTCAAACCTTTAAGATAAGGGAGAAATTGGATGAATCCAAATAAGAAAAGTTCAGGTACGCAGAGGAAGATACAATAATAGTAAGTAACAGTAGGTATGTTACGGGACGTGTGTGAAACCTCTTCTCCCACATACTCTCGCCATGGGCGGATCCGATCCCTTGGTTTAGAAAGACATGTGAGCAAACACTAGGACATACTAGAAAACTTTTCGGTCCAGGGACCTTGATCAAGCTCCCAGGACCGAAACGTTTTCTAATAAATATGTCCCGGTGTTTACTCACGGGTCTTTCGAAACGAATTTGTCGGTATCTATTACCGAGGTTTATACCATCCGATCCCGTGGCAAACCAGTCCTAAAACTCCCAGGCCAGTGCTGTAACTACCGTACCTCTGATACACTGGTTAGAGCAGTGAACAACAGTGTTACACAACACTGGAACAAATTGCCTTTTGTTCTAATGAAGCTCAGTGCAATACACATCTGAGGCGAAACGTCTTCATGGAAAAACACTCTGGTGTTGCACATGTGTTTAATTCCTCATCTTGAGGGTATTATATACCAGTATTGCAACAATGCAATAAATATACGTTTATAATTTTTAGAGGGGTGGACCGGTAAGCCAGCGGAAGGCCTCGGTCATATGACTAAAAGCTCCAGCTGCGGGTCATCATGTGACTAACACCTTCGTGAGGAAACACTTGTCCTATTTCCTGAATTCTATTGTTTTTTGAGAAGCGATAAATCCCGTGGTGGAGGCTTTATCCTCCATCCACTAAAAATGCCCAACTCTGACACTCAGGTTTTGTTCCATCAGGCTGTTGGTGACGGCTAAATATTTAGAGAAAAACGACTATAATTATATGAAGAATTAAAAGCAATCCTACAATTTTTTTGTATACATTCTTCCTCTCTATAGTTATTTATATATTATGTGTAAAGCGCTGATACGTGTGGGTTACTCAGTGTAATCCACATGGAATGAAGAGTGAGTGGGAAGAGAACCTTCTGCTTTTCTATCTTAGCAGATTTCCTAGGTATGACTAGAGATATGATGGTATCAGTGTTCCACCTGTGCTGAAGTATAAATAGGCACAATACCGTGGCTGTAACAATACACAAATAACCCGAATATAGGAGAACGAAACTTTATGACGATGTTTCGGTTTGACCTGGACCATTAACCACATAATGATCTAAGTCAGACCGATACTCCGTCATAAGTTTCATTCTCCTATGTGCGGGTTACTGGTGTATTCCACATGTGCTCTTTTCCCACTCTCTCTCTCTAACTTTAACCTCCTCCTTCGCTCCCTCTTTCAATCCCTTCGTACCATCTTTCCTTCCCTCTTCTCCTTTGCTGTCCTCTTCCTACCCCCACCTCTCCCTCCTCTACCTCCACTTGGAAATATATTTCAGTCGAGGCAGTCGAGCCCGGAGGAACAATACTCACCAAGGGCCCATTCAGCAATTCAATTTTTTGCTATCTTTGGCAAAGAACTTTTTTGCATGAAGAACTCAGTTATTTACGTAATTGCTAGTTATTCTTGAATATTTGTTTTATTAATTTTATTTTGATTACATTTTACAGAAAATAAAGAACAGTTATCATGCAGGTGCAGAGATAAATACTGGACGAAAACGCAAATATGGGCCTTAGTTAATACCAGAAGGGAAATCAAACTTTTAAGATCGGAAGAACTTACACTTAATCGGTGTGTCGTCGAGTATTGACAACAAAAGCTTCTGCCATGAAGCGAGAAGTGAATTACGATCTTAGTTAAAAAAAAAAAATGATTATGTGGCCTATATACCTTTTTGTGAGAGATATACAAGGGGACTTACTTGCACTCTGCGTGTCCGTGGGAGTTGAGGATTGCCTGAGCCAGTGGATGAATGCTCTCCTGTACGACAGAGTCGTGAGCTACGGCCCCGCCGCCCCGACGCCCTGCGTCGCTGTACGTCCTCCTGCAGGGATGAAGACTTCGTGTTCTGTGATAATATATCTTTTTTTCCTGTAGAGGTAAGCACAGTGAGAAGTTTGGCTCTGAATCTACGTCTCGTGGCGGTACAAACGGAGAACGCAGGATGTTTATACAGGCAGGTGGGTACTTCTCAGATCATTTACACGAAAGATGTGTATCTCTCTGTCTGTTTCTCTCTCTGTCTCTCTCTTTCCATCTGTCTCTCTCACTCTGTAGTTTCTATATATATATATATATATATATATATATATATATATATATATTATATATATATATATAAAGAGAGAGAGAGAGAGAGAGAGAGAGAGAGAGAGAGAATTGAGAAAATATTATGTCTTTTTCCCACATCATGTTGGTATGACCATACCGTTCACTTTCACAAAGTTAACATTCATACCTGTTTCAATGCTGCAAATATTTTTCAATGTTTGTTTAAGGGATAAATTACAACCTTAATGACTCACGAACATTCAGATGAGAGGTGCAATAAAAAATTGTTCAAGCTACGTTAATTGATTAGTTTATTTTATTTATAGCTAATTGACTGCACGAGTGTCAGTATACTGTGTTTCACCTCTGCACCATCATTCAAGAATATTTTATTTCCTAAAATAGGGATTAAAGCAAACTCTCACTGTATTTACTTTGCGAGATATACACCTCTTTGTGCACATTTATTGAGAGATGCAGACTTCGTCGTGTATAAATCCTGCTGCGTGACAACATACTATAAAAAGTTTTCAAAATATAGTGTTTTAAATTAAACTGTACACGTTATTCATGTCTAAAACAAAAAGCAAAATGAAGTATATACATTTCTCTTGGAGCACGCCATTTGTTGCGGCTAGGTAGACAGCTAACGCAAAAGACATTTATATAATGCCAGCAGCATCGAACTCTGAGGCGAGATACAAATCGCTGGAGATAAAACTGGGCTGTACACACGAGGTAAAATGTCGTAATCTTAACATATTGTGGACGTATTTTCTGGCAGCAAACAGGGACGCTCTGCACACTGCTAGGCGCTGAAATATGTATTGACCTTCTCTCCCCTCTTGAGCCTCCTGGCTGATGCACGTCTCTAGATGCCTACCCTCTATACCTTTCCCTCCACTTCCCCTCCCGTCTTTCTTAGTACCTTTCCTCGGCACCTCTCTTCAGTTCATCCCATTAGCATATCTCTTCAGCACATCTTTTCAAAGCCTACCCTCGGCACTGCCCTCAACAACACCTACCTTCGCCAACTCCTCAACTTTCCTTTCACAGCTGGGATACGGACTACAGTCACTGGCGCAGACAGGACAGAGCAGTGCTTATGTGAAACTTTCCTATTAAAAGCCCGGTAGCTCAGTGCTAAAGTGCCATGGTTCGATCCCTCTGTCAACCTAAATTGTTTATATATATATATATACATATATATATATATATATATATATACATACATTATATAATATATATATATATATATTTTATATATATTATATATATATATATATATATATAATATAATATAATATATATATATATATAATATATACATAATATATATTATATATATATATATATATATATATATATATATATATATATATATATATATATATATATATATATATATATATATATATATATATGATATATATATATATATATATAAGTCGTGCCGAATATGTAAAACTGGTCAATTAGCAAGAACTCATTTAAAATTAAGTCCTTTCTAAAAATTTTCTCTTATACGTTTAAAGATATTATTTTTCATTAATGTTAAAGTAAAAAATTTTAATTTTGCACCAAAAGAATCTTAGAAAACTTACCTAACCTTATCATAAAGAGCAATTTATTTTAGCCTTAACCCAACTAAATATTTTTTAAATACGTTTACAATAATTTAGTACTAAAAAAAACACAATCAAATATATTTTTTCGTTAGGTTCAAATGATTTTGGCGAAATTATTGTATACACAAATTTTCACTTTTCCTATTTGGCAAGATGAGTGTTGCTATTTAAGCCAAGTTCGCAAGTTCTGCCTTTTCGGCACGCATATTCTATTATATATATATATATATATATATATATATATATATATATATATATATATATATATATATATATTATATATATATATATATATATAATATATATACATATATATATATACATATTTTATATATATATATATATATATATATATATAAATATGTATGTATGTATATATATATATAATATATGTATATATATATATATATATATATATATATATATATATATATATATATATATATATATAATTATATATAATATATATATATGTCGTGCCTGAACTTGATTGTTAAAAACTGGTCAATTAGCAAAGAACAATTTTAAATAAGTCCTTTCTAAAATTTTCTCTGAATACGTGTAAAGATATGTTTTTTTCTTAATGTTATTTTAAAAATAAATTTTTATTTTGCACAAAAGAATCTTAGAATAACTTATCTAACCTTTTATAAAGAAAATTTATTAACTTAACCAATAAAAATATTTTTTAGATTTGTTTACAATAATTTAATATTAAACAAACACAGTGAAATATACTTTTTTCGTTAGGTTCATTATGATTTTGCGACGTTATTGCATACACAAATTTTCACTTGTATTACTATCATAGTTCCTTGACAATGTGAGTAGTCACGACAGCGCTTGGAATTTCACTACTCTTTCACAGTGGTTGTTTTGCATATTTTAAAATCACCTGTTTACTGTGATCTTATTGCATTATACCTATTAAAATATATTTAATTATATAATATAAATTTTATATTAAAAATAATTATATATATATTTAAAATTGTATTATAAATTATAAATATATATATAATATATATATATAAAAATATATATCTTATATAATATATATAAAATATAAAATATACATTAATTATATATATATCTATAATATATATATATATATATATATATATATTAATATTTATTTATATATATATATATATAATATATAAATTATATATGTCGTGCCGAATAGGCAGAACTTGCGATCTTGGCTTAAATAGCAACGCTCATCTTGCCATATAGGACAAGCGAAAATTTGTGTATGCAATAATTTTGCCAAAATCAATCTGAACCTAACGAAAAAAAATATATTTCGTTGTGTTTGTTTAGTATTAAATTATTGTAAACAAATCTAAAATATATTTAGTTGGGTTAGGCTAAAATAAATTGCTCTTGTTAAAATAAGGTTAGGTAAGTTTTCTAAGTTCCTTTTGGTGCAAAATTAAAAAAAATTACATTAACATTAATGAAAAAAATATATCTTTAAACGTGTAAGAGAAAATTTTGGAAAGGACTTAATTTTAAATGAGTTCTTGCTAATTGACCAGTTTTACATATATTATATATATATATATATATATATATATATATATATATATATATATATATATATATATATATATATATATATATATATAATATATATATATATATATATGTCGTGCCGAATATGGAGAACTTGCGATCTTGGCTTAAATAGCAACGCTCATCTTGTCATATATGTCAAGCGAAAATTTGTGTATGCAACAATTTCGCCAAAATCATTCTGAGCCTAACGAAAAAAAATATATTTCACTGTGTTTCTTTAGTATTAAATTATTGTAAACAAATCTAAAATATATTTAGTTGGGTTAGGCTAAAATAAATTGTTCTTTTTATAATAAGGTTAGGTAAGTTTTCTAAGATTCGTTTGAAGCAAAATTAAAATTTTTTACAATAACATTAATGAAAAAAATATATCTTTAAACGTATAAGAGAAAATTTTAGAAAAGACTTAATTTTAAATGAGTTCTTGCTAATTGACCAGTTTTACATATTCGACACGACATATATATATGTGGAAAATTTCATTTAACTGGATGTAACTCATAAGGTACATACCAGTAAATGGTAACAAAGATAATTATAATTAATCAAAGTTACATAGACAAGTAGGAATTTTGGGACACCTAGGTCTCAAAAAATGTCCCCCTTCGATTCCTACAACTGTTATATCCACAAGTTGCTCTAGACCTATATTAATTGCAAATGAAATATACATCACCAGGAATTCTGGTAAAATTTAATATAAACATATGGGCTGTATATTAAAATTAATAAATGATTCCATATACACATTTATGTAACACAAGGAGAATTTATAATCATAACACTCACCAATTAGTCTGGAGATTACGGTGTGTCATGTACAGAAACCCCCTCTGCCTATTTATGAAGAAAAACTGGCCAGAATTCTAACATAAATTAGACACTTAGCTGAGGTTCCTGGAGCTGTCCTGTCCATCTGCTTAATGCTTATGTTATGCAGGACTGCAAATCCAACAATTTCGGCTCCTATTTGAGAGGTTTTAAGCCCAATATAACCTCTAGAGTGACGAAAATTATGCACATTACATTAGCATGCCTGTACCACATTCAAAAACAATGGCGTCCCCCTGCTCCTCAGTGCAGGTGCAGAGCTTTCCTCTCGATTCTCTTCTTTTAAAAATACACTTTAGAGCAAAGCAATGTATTAATCAGGTATATTTACATTATAAAATTATACAGCATAATTTTTGGGAAATTATTTTCCACAACATATATATATATATATATATATATATATATATATAATATATATATATATATATATATATATATATATAATTATATATATATAATATATATATATGTATAATATATATATATATTTCTGATATGTTTGAAAATTTAGATGCAAAATGCATATATATAAAGAGACTGATGTTACATATACAGCATAATTTTTGGGAAATTATTTTCCACAATATATATATATATATATATATATATAATATATATATATATATATATATATATATATATATATATATATATATATATATATATATATATATATATGTGTGTGTGTGTGTGTGTATGTATATAATAATAATAATAAAACCTTAACTACGACATAGCTGCACAG